ATAGAAAAATTATAGTCTTAAGTTGAAAAGATGAGAAGGACCATTTGGAAAACGATCGAGATTTGTGAGGAAAGCATTTGCGGAATCGCAGTAAACTAACAACAATAGTTGGCTGATCCTTCTTCGTAATTAGCGGGCATAATTGTCAAATCTCGATGGCCATAATCGTCTGTCTCATGCGATTTCTTGCCACAAATTTTCATTTTTCTGTTTTAAGCTCACTCTCCTGCCCTCACTCCCTCACCAAGGTCTTATATGAAGCGTTTTGACAGACAGAAGATCCGTCTGACGTTCATCCCGGTCGAGTGTGGTTCCAAGTAACGACTCTGTGATACTTGGCTCTCTCTGAGTTTTACTTGTTGAACTCAAGCACAGCATTTTTTCCTCAGCGGTTTAAAGCGACATTCAGTGTTACGACCTCGAGCTTATGGCGGCTTGAAGATTAAAACCATTGAGCATTAGTTGATTGCACAACCAAAAGATACCACTTGCACGAAAATAGCAATAACTTCTTACAGCTTACGTTTCTCCAAACTGCAGAAAATGAGCTCTTGCCAGGCATTGGGTGAACAAGGTGTTAACTCCAGCAATCTGATTTAGCAAGCATTGAAATGAATGAATATATCATGTTAAACAACGTTATGTTACGAAATTTGCGACATTTTAGCACTGCTAACTTTTTCCTAAGGAGCTCGATGGTATTTGAAAATATTTTCATTCGAGATGCATTTCATGGAAGTTTTATTGACTGGTGCGGCAAATCCTATACCGACAGTGATGCGCAGGAAACCGATACTCATAAGTTTTATTAGCAACTAGAAAATATGATATTTATATAGTTCATTCAATCATTTACAAAGCCTACTGCTAATTTCAGGTTGTTAGAGCAGCAGCTTTAGAAGATTACTCCACCAGCCTTGTCTTTCGTTGATCGGGTAAGCTTCATGGATATGATTAAGGAAATTGTCAGTTTCCCTGGCTGGACATAACTGAGCCGTTTGCTTTCTGTCTGATCCTTGTTGCATTACACGTCGCATGTATTTGCGTATTCATGTATACAAGGCAGAGTGTATGAACCATGGTACATATGAAATATATAAGTGTAACTATAAGAATAATGTATGGTTACATTTTTGTTTATTATGTGTCAAATAATGAATTAACATGTAATAATTGAATGTTCTATTGATACGTGGTTGGGACATCCAAAACTACGACTATCAATTTTGTAGTTCGATGCGTTTCGTAGGCAAAACGGATCGACTGTGAAGTAACTGTTGACGTTACTAATCATGTTTTTTGTTCATATTTGCGAAATACGATAAACTGTTATCTCGAAACGTTTATTTGTTGTATATGCAATAATGTGTACTTATTAATTCGTTTAATCGTCATCATCATCCTTTGTCGATCCAGTGCTGAGTGAAGGCTTCTGTAAAGTTTGCTGTAGATTTCTGTTTTCTGCCATCTTCATCCATCTTGATCTAGCGAATTTCTTCAGTTTATCTTCCCATCAATTTTGAGATCTTCTCAACGGTTTACTCTTTTTTGGAATCCATACGAACGTGTTTCTAATCCAGTGACGGTCGATTTTTCTTGGAACATGTCCAGCTCATTGCCACTTTGACATATTCACTCAGGCAGTGACATCGCAGACTCATATTTGTGCTCTTATCCATTTTTCGTCTTGTCTTTTCAGCTGCCTTTTCTTTTCCATCATGCATCGTTGTGTAGTCTACATTTTATGAATGCTGTTCAGACTTAGAGTCCACGTTTCGCACCTTTATGTTTTTACAGGAAGCATGGACTAATGTAAAACTTTCCGTCTCAGTCATACGGTAGATTTCCCAATAAGTACGTCTTCAATCATCACAAAATGCTGTGTTCCATGTCATTTTCACTCTTCTGCTGATTTTGCAGAATCGATTTTCCTTTGCGGAGGTGAGCTGTCCGAGATGTACTTAGTTTGTTGGTTTTCAGGCCTAAGTCGACTGACTTCAGTTAATTGCGCGCTTACGGATTTGTCAAACATGATTCATTTTCATTCCAAATTTTATGCTGGCGTCGTTCAACTGTTGGATTCTTGTTTGGAATTCTACTGCCGTCTACAAACCGCAGATGGTTAAAGTTTGCCCATGTATTTTGAGTTTGCTCATTTTCCCAGCAGAATGTCTTGAAAACCTCTCTTAGGGCTGCTATGAATATTTTGGATCATCATTCGAGCTCCATTTTTGATTTAGAATTTACTCACGCTTTTTTGAAGCGTCATGCTGTTAGTTACATTCTTACAAATGACGGTCGATGAGGTATCAGGATGTTTTCTCGATTCCGTTGCCTCTCACGGAATCCGATGCAAAGCTATATAAACTGAGTCGAAAGCATTCTCGAAATCGAGGAATCTCAAGCTGATATTCGTTACTTTTCTGAATTACTTGTATCTCCTGGAGATAATGCATCGTAGTAAATATCCACCTCTGAATCCATCAAGCCTTTGATTGTTCAGAGCCGGTTTTTCTTAAAGTCTGTTCATCAGTACGTTCGCTAAGATGTTGTCGATGATTGGTGAGAAACTGAGCAGC